TTTCTAGCTAAAGACGAAGGCTCGGGTAGGATTGTGCAGACTTTTAATAATTACTCTTACTTTCCTATGATGATATTTTGTAAATGATTTAAATCTCACCCCCAACACGACTCCGATATATGTAAAAAATATTTTTTTTTTATTTGTACCCGTATAAGTCATATAGACGAAAATTTTGAGTTGCATCGCGTTTTATCGCCCATTCAATAAGAATTACTGAATTGTCTGTTAACTCTCTATTTGATCTTTGGAATGCCTCAAGTGAAGTAATTTCAAGAAAGTGCGCGCAGTTATCCAAATTTACTCGAAGCTTCTAGTGATATTAAAGCTACTTATAAAAAAAGTGGCTAGAAAAAAACATAATTTTTTCGGAGTAGTCTTTGAAGAAAAAAATTACTCTCAAAGTGAAAAAAAGTCCAAAATGTTAACTTTCCCTATAATGAATGATAAGAGGGCTAAAGAAGTTTATTTCAATCTTGATATCATGGAAAATTTCTAGTTCTGGTAAAAAAAATGATCGAAATAGTTCTACACACTTCTGGTGTATGATAAAATGTTATAGTTTATTTAAATATGGTACCTTTCTTTTTAGATATTTTCTGCGTATTTTGAGAATATTTGATCAGGATTTCACATAACACTTGGTGATCTTTGTGGTCGATTATACTTTATTATATAACGAATAAAGTTCCCATGAGAGATAACATAAATAAATTTCAAATTAATGTTCAGTAGTAGCAATAGACAAGTGTTGAAAAGTCGAATGTTTATTGCATACATGATATCACATTCTAACTGATGACAGATAGTTTGCAATAGTTGGTGATGTTTGTCATTACTTTCGATCTTTCTTTTTTTCTTTCTTTCTTTCTTTCTTTCTTTCTTTGAATATATGTCATAGAATAATTAAAAATATCATTTACACGTGCTAAATATATCAGACCTATAGCTTATTTTCCCACGTAGGATAATATGCAAAATGTTTTCTGATTTCACGCAACTAAATTTTTAACCGATCAACTGTCATTCGGAATAGATTACAGCTCTAAATAGTATTTAATCTTCAAAGTCGGATAACGACTATAAGTAGCCATTATAATTGATTTGTGTGTGTATGTGGACCTGTGCGTTGTATGATTATAGAAGAGAAGAACAAATTATTATCATTCTTATTCTTATCTCAGACTATTACATCCTCAGTAAATGCCAGAATGGATAACTATGCATTTATCAAACAATATATAGACACGTTATGATGAGAAAAATTAAAAAACAAAAATGAAAGTATTCCGAATTTTAGATGAGCGTAACCAAAATTTTATTGTAAACGATAAATTCTCATTTATTTTAAATAGTTTTTTATTTCAACTTTTGCGTATATATACAAGAGGGAAATATATTAATTGAAATAATGTGTTTATATAGTGGGTGAATTATGAACTACAAAAGATGTCTGATGAATTCTTTGCTACTCTTTAATGATCCATAATCGATCTATGATGTGAAATACATAAAAAGAATAATATCATTCTGGTATTGTACTTAAAATATTCTCATTGGAAGTGATTAAATAAATAATACAAACCGTCTTTTTAGCGTAAAGTAACTAGAAAGAAACATTTCGTAATTCATTTCGTATCATTAATAACCAAACGATAACCAAGACTTTGCTTATCTATATGCAGTTCAAAGTGGAGATAATAGATCCATCTTGAAGAAGGCACAAAAAAATGATATAATTACTCTCTGTTTTTTTTTGAAAACCAAAGTCGGTAACAAAATACTACTTTTGACATTTATTTATATTTGTCAATTTTTACGTTTGAATCGATCTGTTATAATCGTGGAAAAAAAGTGTATGTATATATATACATATATGTTTGATATAAATAATGTACACGTACAATTTTTGTGAAATATCATTTGTCTGTCATGTTTCATTGTCATTATGAGTTAATTATAATTTATAGACGAAATGGACGGTGGTCATCTGTATTTATTTCTTCTCTTTGTGACCATAAACAATCTTCAAAAATAGACAGGTTTTTCTTGCGTATTAAACATCACATGAGTCACAGACAATACATTCATCGATCAGCATAAATCTTTCTCGTGTATGTTGTGAAAATTTACATGGGCTCTATTATTTATCTCTTTTGTTGATCATATATACGAGTTAATTTTTTTTGTTGAAGAAAAAGTAGAAGAGAAGATGATTGAACAAGTCATTATCGTATAAAAGGAACAATTGTGTGAAGTGTGTATATATATTAGATATCGCAAATAGAAAGAGAAAGAGAAAATGTGGACTTGTCAATCAGCATACGAATAGTTATAACTGTACAGAAGAGACAGCATACAGGAAATATTTCAGAAAATACAAAGAAACTTGAACATAGTAGTACTCGTCTGATTTAACGAATAGAGACATCAGTATTCCATAGAAGTATTCACTGTCTATATTTTATTTGCTACACCGTGGAAGAAATATTAGTTCATAACTCGCTTATACTCACAATATATCAGCTAACAAGTATATTGAGCGTCAGTAATACTATAAATATATGAGATTCAGAAACGTGTTCTTTCGCATGCTATCCTGATAAAAACCGGGAAAAGTGAGTAATTTAGAGACGAAACGATTGTGTTTCTTGTCAGGACAGACACAGGTTTTCTTCCAGTGATAATCGCAGTTTTATGTGGATGAATGACAATGGCATAAGGTCGAATACTTTTGAGATAGACAGATAGATTGATAGATACTTGTTCCCTTAACATACCAAAGAACAGTTATGTTATAATAATATCTATTACACACAACATGGCACCGAATATCATCAATTTTCTCTTAAATGATGTCTCTGCCATTCAAAAGGATGAACAATGTTGAATACTGGTGAAAAAAACAGAATAGTGGTTTTATTCATTACAAAGAGAAAAAAATAGAACGAATAGATATTCTCTCAACTCCAAAAACAGCATGAAAGAGAGAGGAAAAAAAATGTTCTTTATACACATTTTGATTTGTGGAAAATAGACAAGTGTTTTTTGACAAATAGTTATTCAATATTTTGAAATAAACAACTATTGTCCTATATTCAGGATTACCTCACACTATTTGATTTGTTATCCTCAAAAGAACATTACATATCAATTTTAGTCAACAGATGATAACCTGATGAAATAAGCGAAAGTCACAATTTTATGTCGATATTCTCATGAAAGTTTTACCTCGCTCATTTTGTTTATAATAATTGTACAAGTGATGTTTATTATTTATCAATCTACGGTACATGTTGAATGAGAATTATTTTTTTTCTTTCTCTATTTTCTCTTTATTAAAACGTCTTCCGACCGGAACACTTCGATTTATAGACTATATTTTCTTTCAATTTAACGCTTGTTCGCCTTTTGAAATAAGCGCTTGTATATATGCGTGTGATTTATGATCTGATGACGCGCAACGCATAGAAATTATAATTATCAACGAGAAGAGAAAAGAAAAGTTTACAGAACGAAATTATGCAGAAAAGAGGAGAAACAGATAATAACGATGCTGTTACTGTATGTTTTTATTTGTCTGCAGAAATACGGGAACTATTTTTGTAAGATAGCAGTAGATAGATCCTACATTAATACACCTAGCTGAAATTTAGATGTGAATTAAGATTATAAAATGGCTGAGGTAACAAACTTTCAATTGAATACACACACACACTTTCATTGACGCTCACCATTTCAATAATTTCACTTATTCAATAAAAAGAGAGTAATGGTGGTTATCGCTATATGTATGGTAAATGATTTTAATTATTATTAAAATTAACAGCAAGAATATCACCTATGTTTTTATTATATAGAGAAGCAGATCTGACAAACTGTTAAAGATTAAAAATGTTGATCGCTACATACATACACGTATCTCTTTGATATATTTTAACGATGAGTGTCTAACTTTTGTTTCAAAAAAAGATAATTGCAACTCGAGCATGGAAGGAAGACGATCTCTATCTTTGACATTGACCAAACCGGTATGCAAACATTATGTCGGCTTGTTTTTATTAAAAATGTGTGTCTCGTCTATGATTTGGATAAGCTATTTGTAAATAGACAACAATAAGCGAACAATTACAACTTGTCATCATGTAAATAGAAAAGAGAATGTTTTTGTTTCTTTTTTAGTTATAGTATATACGTATTACAGGTATACAACGAGAGAAAACTCTTGAAGCACGCCATCGACTTTATAAATATCACCGATACGGAAATGATAGTTCATTCGCCGACTTGTCACAACTTATTTATTAAAAAAAAAGAAGAGAAAAATACTTCAATAAAGTATATAAATCGGGGCAGGTATTGTCACACGACGAACGTCAATTAAAGTGTTCATTTCCTGCTACCAACGGATGTATAGAAAACCGTTAAACGAACGGACGACGAAGACGATCGTATCTTTCCACTTGAGCTCATTTCTTTAATATTTTTTTCAGAGGAAATTGTCACAATAGTTATTGTATAAACGAATAAAAGACCTATGACTCTATGATGTCAATGGTGTGATGAGAACTAGTGTAATGGACGATTGAAAAAAAATGAAGAAGAAAATATGTGAATTACTGCCTATCTGTCTAAATATTAGCGTCTCAAATTAACTGCTATCTTTATTACCTCATTAAAGACTCATGTATCTGTTATCTTAGGTTAATTGAATACAATAACATTGATGAATTGCCTCCGCATGCCTGGTTAATAATAAACGTATACTATCAACATAAGTTTAATGTCGAATTTTTTGTTTAATTTAAAAAGAATTACCATAAAGTCCAGTCAGATCGTAAGACAAAGCAATAAATACATCAAATACTGAAAAAAATAGAGAAAGAGAGAAAGAGAGGAGAAATAGAGAGACTACAAATTTATAATACGACAAAAAAATACGCGGTTGCTCTCACCAAAGACCGATTGACTATAAGTAGAAAAAAGTCTGGAAATTTAATTTACGAGTTCGCTGTCGTTGTTATTCGTTGTAAACAATTTTCCGTATGTTTATTTAATAATGACATTCTTGAAAATGTTTTTTGACATCTTGAACAACGATATTTTTTAATATCCGAATGTGTTTGCATATGTGCACGGAGATTCGATCGATCAGCAAATGCTCGACAACATATTTCACATTTAAATGGTTTCTCACCTGTATGTGTTCGTACGTGGCCTTGTAATAACCATGGTCGACTAAATGCTTTACCACATACTTTACATTTGCATGGCAATGTATGTGTTCGTATGTGCATTTTTAGTGCACCCAATGAATTATACGTTTTCTCACAGTATTTACACTGAAACTGTTTTTTTATTTGAGCCACACAATGAAATTGTTTATGTTTTGATAGGCCACCGAATGTCGAATAACTTTTAGAACAACCATCACATTGATAACGAGAATTTGTTTGTATGGGTGCTGTTGTTGATAAAGTAGATGTTGTCATTGTCGACGGTGTTGTTGTACTGCCGGGAGAAGATACAGTTGATGATGAGGAACCACTACCGATTGGAGACGTAGATAGTGAGAGCGCTGATGTTGAAGAACTTGATGTTTTTATTTGTCCATAATAATAGTTTAATTTATCGACAAATAATGACGAATTCGGTCTTGTATGTGCTAATGGTGGTTTAAATGGGTTAAATTGAGGACTGTTGAGTGTTGGCTCAGTAGAAGGTTTGGTGTCTCTACTTAGTAATGGTTGTTCCAGTGATTGTAAACGCTGCAGTACAGTTGATGATGGTCCATTATTTGTTTTCGATATACAAGCAAAATAATACAAGTAATACAAATAGTTATATTCATTTGTTGACATCATACGTGGCGGACTTTTGCTAAAAGCACAATGATACTTCTGTATGTTTTGAGGCTGAGGATTATCGAAAGCTGTTATTGTTGCTGTATTAACAGGAAACACAGATTTCTCACATTTAACATCAATTTTATGTTGAGATATCTCCATCTGATCGCAGCCATCATTTTCTTCTATTTCCTCCTCACACTCGTCATCTTCATCGAAACAAGACATGTCACAATCATTTTTTAATGAATTATTCATTATTCTTTGACATTTCATTCTTGATGATGTTGTTGTTGTTTCACTATTGCCGATATCGATTGGTTCACTATTGGTATTGGTGGTGGTCGAAAGAAGACTTGATATTAAAAAACTATCCACTTTTCGACATTTAAGAATTGGGTGTTCCGACTCTAAATTGAACACGAATTCATACTCACATTCGAGCGAAAATAAAGAAGGCACAGAAAAATGATTTTTTGACAAAAGTAAAGTGCATGCAGCATAGAAAGTTGAAAATAAGTGAGATAGTATTGTAGAAGGGTAGCGCGATAATAAGTTCATTATTGCACATCTTTAATCTTTCACAGCGAGCTGTAATTTTGTTGGACTTTTCTAAACCGAAATAATATTCTACTGCATTTCCTGCTTAACCCTTTACGGCCGGCTGCATAAGCCATTTAGTCACAATATCCCCTTCTGTGCATACTCCTTTTCTGTCGGCTGCCAAAAATTAACTAATAAAAATATTCCTCCCTTTATATTTATTGTTTTGCTGTGACAGGGATCGGCAAAGTGTATTCTTTTAGAACGAAATTTCTTCCACACTTAATAGATCGATGTTAGCGGTAGTCAACATCCAGCCGTAAAGGGTTAACCAACAATATTGAACTCAAACTGATATCTTTCTACTTTCTTCCAACACAAAAACCAAGTGATTACACCCTAAAAAAAATGCAGCTTAGGATCAAATTAAGTCGCATTAATGTGTCTTATTTTCCTAAGTCGTATTTTTTTTGAGTGTACTTACTATACAAATCTAAAAATGTCCTAAATACCAAATTTATGCCATCTAACGCTCTTCTTTCTGCCTGATGGTATATAGAAATTATATTTCATATATTACAAAGTGTCAAATTTGGACATATAAGCTTTTAGTAAAGTTTATAAAGAACTTGGCACAATATTTGATTTTATGCCATTAGAATCACAGATATATTAACTTTACTTACCGATTATAGAATCTTCTTTAGGCATATTAATACAAAATACTTGATTATTAAAACTGATTTGACTAGGAGAAATGATAGCTAGTTAGTGCTAAATCATAATCTCTGAATAGTTGTGTGCGTGTAAATGAAGATGAGTTAGTTGCTCATTAATCAGTGCCGATGATGATATTTCTGGTTTTTCTTTTCTTTCTTTTTTTCTATCCTTTTCTTTTCTTTTCTTTTTCTTTTAATTCTCTCCAATAGGGTTTCGATTCTTTATTGTTACTGAGTACAATTACATCTTTACACACTCTCTTTCTCTGTTCGTTCTATCTATCCATCTTTCTGATGTGCATGTGTGTATATTCTTGTTTTTATCCATACATATACCCGAATGTGTTTATTCGACACTTTTTCACGCTCTCTTTTTTTTCTGATAGGTTATATACTATACACTAGCTGCATACCGGTATAAATGGTTGATAGGTGCACCAGCAATTCTTTACATGTTCTTTTATTATATCCATTATTTATCTCAGTCAGTGCGCAGAGCAGCATAATAATAACAATAATAATAATAATAAATAAGAAAAAAAAGGAAAATTACATAAAATATATTTAAAAAAAATTGCCATATTTAATATCCATATACACTAAGCAATAAATTGACGTTTTAACCAAGAAGGAATGATTATACTAATAAATCAGCCAAGACATCTAATAAATATACATATAAGTAGACTGTACACGAAAAGAGACAAGGTATCAAAAGGTATCTCACTGCGGGAACATTTAAACTTAGCTAACTTTAGAAAATGAAAACTTTTGTTTTGTCTACTATTTATAATTAAATAGATCCGATATAAACTGTGTGAGTTGAAAGCATACATATCATAGAAAAGGAATAGTGTTTTGCACTTGGATATACGTTCGAAGTGGAATTGATGTCTAAATTCCATTGATGGAAAGTTACTGCTTTATTTAAAGTGCAGTGTTCGAAATACCCAGTTTTCATGTTGTTCATGCTGTTACTTCAATGAGTAGATTTTCAAAAATGAAATCCATTTGATCCTCAAGAATTTTGTAAAAGTACTGTTAGTATTTATTATTATGTTCTAATTAAGACTCAGAATAAGCTTAATTCACGTCGTCTATTCGATTAAAAGTTGTTAAACAAAAGAAAGGCGACAAAAGTTTAAACAAACGAAGTAGATATATCTTTATATGATAAAAAATTACATAAAGTTCAAACTTCAAAACAAATATGTACTTTATTACAAGATGATGAATATGTCAATCGAAATAAAATGTAATTTTTTTGTGTGTGGGCTCTTAAACGTCTTCCATCCCCCACCCCATGTTTTTCTATTATTTGTTACTCGTGCCTATCAATACATCCTATTCCACATAGTCGTTTAGCAAACGATGATCCACACCTAAAAAATAAAAACGTTTTCTATTGTGTAAAAACACTTGGCAAATATGATAGTATATGTACACGTGTCATGTATAAACGAGCCTATATGTATGTTCGTCAACAAGTGATCTAGGAAAGTAAAGTCGTGATCCACAAATATTGTAATGAAGATGATTAGATTAGAAAAAAAAACAATTATTCTATCTCCTAGGTAAATTTAACTTGATACATCGTTAATCCCCCACCCTATACACTCGATAATTGAATAACATAGGTGATTGTACCGTATGATATTTTTCACATATAAAACTTTTCTACTATCGCTTATTTAAATCGAGATATTGTCATACATAAGCATATATAAGAAAAATCTATTACAAGCCAAATTTTAAAATATTTAAGTAGAAGCAAACCGAGTTTTGCCTTCAATAAGAATTTTCTTAAAAAAAAACAAGTGTTTATATGAACAAATCAAAATTTGGATTGAGAATATGTGATGAATAAAAAAAACAAACATTCTTTTTGCACTCCAGGTAGTAATTATGTACATTTCACCTTCAACATGCTTTTCCTTCGTTTTCTTCTCTAATGACATGAGTTATGACTTAATGAACGTTAGTTTTTCTCTTATTATTATTATGATAAAAAATAAGAGTGTCAATGAATTTCATTCTGTATAAGCCAGTGACATTTCTCTTTCTCTCTTTTTCCTATACATTGTATACAATTTTTTCAAGTGGCCAACTTCAAATCTTAATAAAGTTGCAACAGACAATTCTTCTCTTGTATTATTCACGTAATAATTATAAATCACAGGATGGCGAATGAACATCAGTACACAACGTCTGCTCGTGTATGTATGCACAGCAGTACAAGAAGATAGTGTGCCAATGATTGGCCTAATGAAGTAAAAGACAGCTGAATATATATATATCTTGGCTGAATGTTAATTTCAATAATAGTTTATAAAATAAACAGTAAAATAGTTTGATAATCAAAATATTTGTTGTCTTTATCTACTAATATAATTTAAAATTTTTTTTCTTTTTTAAAATCTTTTGCTCATACAATTGTGTATATGGCTAAATAATATAAGCCAATTTTTATAACAATATTTATTATAATAAATATCATAAGATTTATATAGTAAAAAAAAGTCAACAGATTCATAACCTTTAGAAGATTTTCAATAGGAGTTTTCCTTACAAAATTTTAAATTAAATTGTAAAAGAAATTTTTCAGCTGATTATTCTTCCTCCTTAAGAAGTTTCTTGATGCATAACTGGTACATAGACGCAATTATCTCAAAATTTAAAGTTTAATCTGAAGATAGCCATATAAAAAACTGTGTTCATTAATTGTCTAATAAGAAGTTAACAACCATCAGCACTATTTGTCGCTAAACGTAGATTCTTGTCATAATTCGTCTGTGAGATATTAAAAAAACTATGAATTTTACTTGGGGAAGGCAACATACATATTATTATAACTCAAGCATATACCGAAACTGCGTGTATCCAAACCGTGTGTCTTCCCTCTCTATGTTTTGAGAACAAACTAATAGCCTACAGAAGCCGTCAACAGTATCCTGCCCGCTGAATCCTTCAGACCATAATAACTTTAAATATAAAATTTGATGAACAACTGTCATTCATAATGTAAGATTGCAATAAGGACTTTTATGCAAAACAAGTCACTCTGGAATTTGATATGGGTTTTGGATTTAACCGTAACGAAACTTCTTGCATCCAAGATTTTGCACAAGATTCAAGAAGAAATGTCACAAGTTTTACAATTCTTGAATCTTCTACTTGAGAACAAAGATCTTATGAACAGAAATTGCAAGTTCTCGAGTGAAAAATATTCTGTACATGTTGTCCATGTATGATAGCCAAATCAAGTATACGTTCATATATAATCATAGGCTCTTCGTTGAGCAGTTGTCTCTCTATCTCAATTGACTCAATAAAACTTGACGAATTTTGGGTAAATTCGGCATTTGTATATTGTCCTATGCTGATTTGAAGGTACACTGTAATTTAGAATTAATTTCTGATTTATAGAAAATCGATCTCGAAAATCGCCGGCGATTTTCTGGCTTTAATAAATTCCCTATGAATTTATGATTTTCTATTTTAAAATCGAGTCGATTTTCTATAAATTGACTTTTCATTTTATTCAGGAAAATCGCTGTAGAATTTTCAAAAATACGAAAATTCGGCATCGACTTTCTAATATTCTAGAAATTTGATCGATTTTCTATAAATAATTCCCAAGATTCTTGACATTTCACATCGAATTACTAAAATGTTGAAAAATCAGCTTCGAATTTCAAATTTCAAGAATCTTCGGAATTTTCAAGTTTCGTCGATTCAAGTTTCGATTCAATTCGATTTTCTAGAACCTAGAAAATCCTCAAGGAATTTATATATGGACTTTTTCGTCGAGCATTTTCTGTAAATAATTCACGACATTACAGTGTAGTGAATTTATTTCTGTTCTTCATATTTCGAAAAATATAAAGAGTATAGAGATTCATTAAATATTTAAAAAGGAATCACTTTTAGCTTCTGAATGAGAACAGATTGCGCGATAGATTTCAAATCAAAATGAATAGAAATACAGATTTTCTAGACTATGGAAGCGAAAAC